TATTCAATATTGGACTCGTTTCGAAGGTATTAACGAGACGATTATAATGGTGTAACTTGTTAAAATAAAAATGTATTTTTTAAACATGTTTTAATTGATATACGATTATATATGTTAATTTGATAAATGTTTAAAATGAAACATTTAAAAGCAAATGACGTAAAGTAAATTAATTAACTAATTATAGGGGTATAAAGTGGAAAAGTGAAAAAGTAGTATAAATGATATCTTGGTCATTTAGAATTTTAAGACTTTAAGACTTTTGATAAATTTACTTAATAAGATAGTATAGATTATAATGTGTTTTATTTTTATTGTTGATCTATTTTAGTGATGGATGTAATTTTATTTATAATATTTGAACATAAAATTAATATATTATTTTACAAATGATTTTGTTTCATTAATATTACGATATACATGATATGGTTGTCATTAATAAAACCACTGCCAAAGTTACCATTTTGCCCTTATAAGGATTATAAAATAAGTTTTTTTTTAATTTCCTAATATAACCTAAACTATCTTGACTATTGATCAAGAAAATGAATGGATAAGATTGGTTTACACAAATGAGGTAGGTTTTCATTTGATCGTTTATATATATATATATATATATATATATATATATATGTCAAAATGTAATATTTCTTATTTTCTTTGTTTAAAAAATACATATTTTTTGATATTTTCTTAAAAATGTTTGCAAGATAGATTGTGTCTTACAAATGAACAAACGAGTTTTCAAACGAGTCGAGTCAAACATTGGTGTTATTCACCATTTTAAGTTAAACGAATAAGTTGCTAGACTTTTTTTAACAAATAAAATTTCGAACTTTTTGAAATCGAGCTTATTTAAATTGAATAAATAAATCCTTGAATTTTTTATAATCCGTGAACTTTCTTATTTTGAACGATTAAATTTATGAACGTTTTTTTCATTGAATAAGTTCTTACAGTCATAAAACAAAAGAAATATATATATATATATGTTCTTTTTGTTGTGTACCAATAAATCAATAGCAGAGTACAACAAACCAATATAAGAAATACCATTTTAATCAACCATTATTTATTTTTTAGATTCAAATGACAATCACAGGTTTTTGTTGTGATGTCGTGATTGTAAGTTGAATATGAAAAATAAATAATTATTAACTTTTTTTTAATGAACAGTAATGACAATTACTAGAGTTTCAATATATACTTCAAAGACGATTTATGTAATCACTCTTAATGCAAATATATCATTTTGTTTTCTCCAACGTATGTAATTGGTAGATAGTTTTCTAATTTTACTAATCCTTTTATGGGTTATCTTTTCTTTCTTTTGCTACTCACTTTTCTTTTCCTTGTAATAAATTTCTACGTTTATACAAAAAACCATTCTCGAAACCCAAGGACGAATAGAAATCCCTTTGTAGCCATGGAGGTTCAAATGTGGTGACTCCGGGCTATCTGCAAAGCAGATGGTCGTCCTGGGATTAGTCGGCTCGCATAGCGGGTTGGATATCCAGGTTAATCAAAGAAAAACCATTCTTGCCAATATTTGGCTTCAAACATTGTTCACCATCTCCGTTACCATTAAAATGATTTTGATATCCTATCGAGTCTAACACTATCATGTCTTGGATATAACATCATCATCAAAATCACGATCTTGTTTCTAACGGTATAAATTGATTGTTCAAAAAACATTAACCTCTTAGGTTTAAAAATATCGATGAGACATGAATATACAATTTGAACCATAACTGAAAAAAAAATTAACATATCGAAAAGTGCGGTTAAAAAAAGAAGGCCTTCAAAATTGGTCGTGTTAAAACGCGAAAAGTTATCTACTGACAACCAAATAAGTAATTGTATTAACATTGAATTTATGCAGGAAAAAAGTAGCATAAAAAAATAGAAATGGCTTCAAAGTGTAAGCTAATACAACCGATTTTTTAACAGCGGCAAGAAGGCTTTTCAAGTTTCTTGGTTCTTTGGGAGGTGACCGATCTTTCATCGGCTCATCTCTTATAGCTTGGAAAACTGGCTTTGAACCTGCAATCGCCAGAAAAACCAAACAATCTATGTACACGGGGACCTCTGTGACTCTATCCCCTATTGTAATGAACCTTGGGATTTTGTCAGCCTGTAAAACGTGTACAACTTCTTGTCAGAACAAGATTGAACATGATAAAATATGACATGATAAGATGAGACCTGATAAAATGTATACAATTTCTTTCGGAATGAGATTGAACCTGATAAAACAGGACATGACAACAGACGAGACAAGATGAGACCAAACTGGATGGCCGAGACTAAGTGTAACACTCTCATTTTCGCCATCAATAACTAATGTGTAATAACTCCAAAATAATTAAATTGAAATCGTTTACGGCGAAAGACTTCAAAACAATAAATAAGTGTGCATCGTTTCGAACCCCATAGCCCGCACTTATTTTTTATTTTTATTATTTTCTTTTTTTTATTTAATTTAATTTATTAAAAGTAAATCACACAGGTTATTTCCCGCCCACACCATCGCTTCATTTTTCTCCTCCGACCGCCGGAATACTCTCTCCACCGGAATGTTTCTACCAAAACAGCTCCATCCTTTTCTTCAAGCTCGGTATCCGCATCTCATAATCCAACATCCTTCTTTAATTTCATTACTCCTACGATTCCCGATTTGGAGTCCGTATGAACATGGTGTTGAATCCTCCGTTAAACAGAATTGGTGATCATGAAGTCAGTTTGAAGTTTAACGATCGAAGGCAGGTCAGATGGAAGCATCATAATCACCGATTTTGTGGATACGAATCCTAACATGATTTCAGGTTTTCCACAGTTATATGTTTTCACTTGATTATAATGAATGTTTATGTTTAGTTGATTGCACATTTGAACTATGGAAGATTTTGTTTCCTTATTTGTGATSTAGATCTGTTTAACTGCGGAAATATCGGGAAGAACAGCTTTGGAGCCAAATCATGAAAAGGAAAGTAAATATGATCCTAAGAGAAGTATAATTCCTAAACTCTAAAACCTTCCATATCTAAACTCTTCTCAATCACTATAAATTAACACCACTTCTCAATCCTATGCTTCAACTTCTTCTTCACCATTAGGGTTTATATCTTTGCATTTGTCTATCGAAGTTTCTTACTCTTCTTCTACGTTTTGTGTGTGTTTTCTTGAGATCAGGAACTATAAACAATGGAAAAATATCAAAGAATCAGAGAAATTGGGCGGGGGTCATATGGGGTTGTCTTTAAAGCACTGAATACAGAGAATGGAGAACTGGTTGCAGTCAAGAAGATGACCGACAGAAAGTATTATTCGAGAAAAGAATGCATGAATCTGAGAGAAGTCAGGTCACTATGCAAGATGAGGAATCATCCTAACATCGTCAAGCTCAAAGAAGCCGTTGTACAAAACAACATACTGTTCTTGGTGTTTGAATACATGGAATGCTCTCTCTGGCATCGTATGAGACACMKAACAWATCCCTTCTCYGAAATCGAGATCAGAAACYTGTGCTTCCAAATCTTTCAAGGTCTTGCATACATGCATAAYGAAGCCGGCTACTTCCATCGCGACCTTAAACCGGACAACCTTCTAGTTTCCAAGGATGTGATCAAGATTGCGGATCTTGGTCAAGCTCGTGAGATCAATGGCGAACCTCCATACACCGATTACATTACAACACGCTGGTATCGTGCCCCCGAGGTTCTTCTCCATGCGCGAGCACATGATTCTTCGGTTGACATGTGGGCCATGGGTGCCATCATGGTTGAATTGTTTACCCTCCGACCATTGTTTGACGGTTCTTCTGCAACAGAGGTAATGCTTAAGATTTGCAGCGTGATCGGCACCCCAACAGAAACCACATGGAGTTTGGGAATGTATCTTGCCAATAATATCAATTATCGGTTTCCAGAGTTTCTGGGTGTGGATCTTTCCTCATTGATGCCATCTGCAAGCCCAGAAGCAATCAATCTGATTTCTACCCTCCTTTCATGGAGTCCATGCGCAAGGCCAACAGCCAAAGAGGCACTTGAGCATCCCTTCTTCTATGGGTGTTATTACCATATTCCACACCCCCAATTTGACTGTGTGACTTCGTCTCGAATGATGAGAGACCGAGCGCTACCACTGGTATTTAAAATGGCGATGCGACGGGAGATGTTGAAGCAGATCACTCGACGCCTGGAGAGTTGCTTAGGTGGGTTAAAAGGATCGGAGACTCCAACGGAAGACTTGGTGCATCATCTCCCTCCCAGAATTCCTATTCGACTTTGATGGTTAATTCAGTTGAAAGCTGTAGGTTATGGAAGTATTAGTTGAATTGCATTTAAGGTGTTAATTAAGGTGTGTTAGTGTTATCAACTCTTGTTTTGTTGCTGCTTCATTCACACCTTTTGTTTTCTTTAATGATAGAGAACGTAAAGCAAGTTATGAACTGTGATGCATCAATGAATATTTGAAGGGTTCTTAGACGGGGAAAAAATTACATGTTTCATCTCAATTTAACAACTTTTTATAAAAAAAAATTATAAAAAAATAATAACTCAATCTCATTGGTGGAATTGAATACAATAATCATTTCTCTTTTCCAATATCAAGTATTAGAGAATTCTATACATTTGGAGTTTTCTATACAATTCTCTATTTTAGAGAACAAGATAACAAAGCTATTCGAGAATGTTAGAAAACAAAAACTCATTTTTTATTTATTTTAAAAAAGCTGTTGAAGATGCTCTAACCTTTCCTCTCCCCAAGCCCCCACCTACAACCTTCTTCCTCTGACGAGCTTCCTGCCTCCATCCATCATTGACGATTGCTCTTAGGGGCCGTTTACCCAATTATTTACCCGGTAAGCGTTTACCGATAGGAGTCAACACAATGATTTATTTTGATGCGCAAGATTTTAGTACATCAAAACATGTCGAATGCAACAATTTACTGGGTAAGCGCTTACCTGAGTAAGAGTCGTCATCCTTGCTTACCGGATAAGACTCTCCATCATTCTCATCATTCTTACCCGATAAGATTTTTGGCCCTTCTTATATTCATCCTATAAGAAAATTTATCCGGTAAACATTTACCAAGTAAGTGTTAAATAAACGGCCCTTACTCCTCACTCAAAACCTCGATGAACCGTTCAAAGTGGAAGGAAACCCATGTGATCCCTATCTAACCCTCGCCATCATCACCAGATTGTGTAAATCTAGAAACGTACACCTACTACAACTATTACCAGCATGATATACATCTGTTATATTCGTACTAAAATCATATATTACTCTATAATGAGTAATAAATAAAACAAAATAAAATATTAAAGTTCATGTCATATTAAAATTCTACAAATAAAAGTATAAAACTAAGGGCATCTCCAATGGATGACACTCTATCAGAGTGTCATGGACTGCCACATCAACATTTCACTCACCATACAACTCTATCATTTTATACCCACACTTCATAACACTCCAATGAGCTTAATGGATTTTCACATCATATATATATATATATATATATATTATCTATAAATATAATTTTACCAACAAATTTAAAAATCTACTAAAAACAAGGAATAATACATTAAAATGAAAATGAAACGAAATTAAAATACATTTAATAAAAAGTACGAGACTAAAATACATCAGTTAAAAAGTACCAAAGCTAGAAAATGAAATGCTTAAACACCAAATAATTTAAATTAATGTAATGTTTTATTAATTATGTTGTTTTTATAAATTAAGAAAAACAAAAATAAAAATTAATTTATTGATTAATAAATATCATATTATAGTATATATATATATATATATATAATATCATAATTAAATCCTTACAAATTTAATTATAACAAAAAAATTAATTAGTGGGTCCCATTGACCTCCCCATGATGCGTACAATGGCCATTAACCTCCCTTCACAATGCATGATGCATGTAATGACTCCCATTAACCTCCATTGGAAATGCTCTAAAGGTGAGGAGCAGAACCGGGTACAGTGGCAGATCCCCTAAGGGGCTATGGGGGCCATGCCCCCCCTCCTATTTTGATGTCTTAATATAATATTGTGCATACTACTACAAGTTTTATAAAAATTAGAAATTTGGCCCCTTCACTTTTGATATTTAAAAATGAGAACCCAAGTTTTTTTTTTCTTTTTCAAAATGGGTTTTTCACACCTATCCAAACAACCAATATAAAAGATCAAGAGTTATCCTAAAATATAGAAACGTTCTAGAAAAATACTTTATAGGACTTACAATAATTATAGGATCAAACAAAAAAACGTTCTATCTAAAACTGTTGCAATAGGTTTATAGGATGTCTTTTTTGCATTTTAGGCATTTTTAGGCGTTTTATGCATTTTATAAAGTGTAGTATTAACTATTTTATAGAACGTTATTTGAAAATATGTTATATAAACACAAATGTCCTATAAATAGACGGTTTTACAAAACAATTCTCAAAAGTTTCATATAATAGGACACTTTATTTTAAAAACGTGTTGATTAATAAGACATTTTATTTTAAAAACGTATTAATTCATGGGTTAGAAGAGTATGTATTAACGGATTGAGATCAAATTCCATAAAATATGTTATTGAGCTCGATCAGAAGACAAAATTAAAATAGTGTAACTTATTTTAGTAAACGAACAAATCACTTTCAAGGAAAATTCAATTTAAGAATATCAAAACAATACATCAATTTTTATTATAATCACTATAACTAAATTAATTTTATAGGACACCTAAAATGTAGAAGCGTCCTAAAATATATATTATAGGTCTTAAGTTTACAGGACTAAACCAAAAAATGTCATATCTAAAAATGTTACAATAAGTTCATATGACGTTTTTATGCATTGTAACATGTTTTTTATGACGGTTTTGATAATAAAGTGTAGTATTAACTATTTTATATGATACTATTTGAAAAAGATGTTTTATAAACACAAATGTTCTATAAAAAATGGGTTTATAAGATATTTCTAAAAGGTGTCCGATAAAATAGCTAATATGACACTTTATCTTAAAGCGTCCTAAAAAACTTGTTAAAATGCTTAAAAACGTTCTATAAACCTATTGTAATGGTTTTAGATATAAATCTTTTATTTTGGTCCTATAAAACTAAGATCTATAATGTATGATGTCATATAAAACCAATTTTTTTGTAGTAGAATGATGGGACGCCATGAAAATTTCAGATTATATATATTACGTACGTAAAACACAAGGAAGCTATGATTCTAAGAGTGTTTACTTTGGAATATTATCTTGGTCGCCTTTACCCTATTTTTTAATATACAAATTTTGGTTAAAAAATCCATATATAACACTACATATTTACATGACATATTTATAAAAAAAGATTAGTTTTGGCCCCCTCGGTTATAAGTCTCGTGTTCCGCCCCTGACCGGGTACCCACTTGCGGAACTGGAACTGTCGGTTCCGGAACCGAAACCGATATGAGTGGTTCCGGTTCCTAAAATACGGAACCGATTGAGAATGGTTCCGGTTCCGATTCTCAATTTTTCGGAACTGTTGCCCACGGGGACCAGTTCCGGGTACCCTGAACCGAAACCGGCGAGTACCCGGTAAATAATAATTAATTTTATTAATTCTAAATTTAAATTAGATCAAGAACTTAAAACTCTAGATTCAGAATTTAAGATAAAATGATTCGAATTTTTCAAATTGTGTGTTTAATTGGATTCGTAGTATGTAATCGTTAAACTTTGAACCCTTACAATTATAGTATGTAATCGTTAAACTTTCAACATTTACTATTAGTCTATTATGGTTTGTAATCGTTAAACAATATTTGTAACCATTATTCCGTATAATTTGTATCATTGTTTATTTATTTAGTGTTTTTGCAATGTTTTATTTTTAAATAACAAAATTTTAATATTTTAGGAAGCATGTAACCGGAACCGATTCCCGACGGTTCCGATTCCAAAAATTCAAGAACCGCTTTAACCTGTTCCGGTTCCGGTTCCCGCCTATGCTCACCCCCAAATAAAACAATAGAAATGTTTAAAATGACAAAATGAAAAGAATATGAAAAAGTTCTTATTACAACAAATAAAATTTTGAACTTTTTGAAATTGAACTTACTTAAATTGAATAAATAAATCAATGATTTTACTATAATCAACGAACTTTCTTATTTTGAACGATTAAATTTATGAACGTTTTTTTTTTATGGAATAAGTTCTTATAGTCATAAAACAAAAGAAATATATCTATTCTTTTTCTGTGTATTAACAAATCAGTACACAAACCAATAGAAGAAATACCATTTTAATGAACCATTATTTATTTTTTAGATTCAAATGACAATCACAGGTTTTTGTTTATTTATTAACTTAAATGCTAACTCGATTCATACCGAGTTGCATTACAAAATTTATCTGACATAAATTTCTAAACATAAATATTGAACCATAATAAACATGACAGGTATCTATGCATGTCATATTTCTTTTTCTAATCTGGAACATTCTGAACCTGAGATGTATACTATAGTTAGATTTAAAAAATTCAATGAGTTTATGGTTTGTGCGTATAAAAGTATTGTTTTTATTTTATTTTTATAGAAAAAACAAAAAAATAGGCAAAAGTCTAAAATAACTCTTAATTTAACGAAGTTAACAAATTCGTTAGTTTTCTACTATGACTTGGGATCATGTGAGACCAAGAGTTTTTCGTGAGACCCGTAAGACCAATTTTCAATATTTGGATTAGATTTACAATCTGAACATTCATAATCACAAAATTGCCACGAGACTTCTCAATAATCACAAAAATGTCACCATACAATTTTAGACCATTAGATCATTAACTTATAAGATGGATCAATGAACATAAATTGGTCAAACGAATCTTACGAAAAACCATTAGTCTCGCGTAAACCCAACCCTGATACAGTCACCAAATCCACTGTATAACTTTATTAAAAAAAATTAAATCACATGGACCAAGTCCAAATTCACTCTTTTATTTATTCATTAAACAAATCACAGGCTACCCCCTTTCCCGCCAACAACATCGCTTGATTCTTCTCCTCCGTTCACCGGAAAATGGGGAGCAGTCATACTCTTCACCAGAAGGTTTCAACCAAAACAGTACCTTCGAACTCGGTATCATCTTCTATTACAGTTCACAATTCAAGAGTTCGTTTAATTTCCGACGAATTAAATTACTCAAGCAATTTCCGATTTGGAGTCGGTATGAACATGTTTTTGACTGTCTTTTAACATTCTCCGTTGACAGAATCCGTGACGAGTGAAGGCAGGTCAGATGAAAGCATCATAACTTCTGATCTCCAAAAACACCTTTATCACCGATTTTGTGGATCTCGTCGGTTACGATTTCAGGTTTTTCACGCTTATCTTTTCACTTGATTAATGAATGTTATTTTGTTGATTGCACATTTGGACCATCCTTATGCTTAATTATGGAAAGTTTTGTTTCCTTATTTATGATCTTGATCCGTTTATGAAATATCTAGGACAACAGCATTGGATATATATCAATCTTCTCATAAAAGGAAAGTACAAATAATCCTAAGGAAAATACAATTCTTAAAACCTAAAACATTCCATATCTAAAATCTTCTCAAGTAGTGAATATAAACAACAGTTCCCAATACTTTCTTCTATTTCTATGGCCGTTCTTCATCCCCTTTGCCTAAATCTGTGAAGCATCACTAGGGTTTAAGGTGATCTGGTGGTGCTCTGTATTTGTCTACCAAATCTATTTTTCTTCTTCTTCTACGTTTGTGTGTGTTTATCGAGAAAAAGGACCATAAACAATGGAAAAATATCAAAGAATCAAAGAAATTGGGCGTGGATCATATGGGGTTGTCTATAAAGCATTAAATACGGAGAATGACGAACTGGTTGCAGTCAAGAAGATGATCAACAGAAAGTATCATTCGAGTAAAGAATGCATGAATCTGAGAGAAGTCAAGTCGCTATGCAAGATGAAGAATCATCCTAACATTGTGAAGCTCAAAGAAGTTATCGTACAAAAGAACATATTGTTCTTGGTGTTTGAATACATGGAATGCACTCTCTTCGATCGTATGAGACACAGAACAGATCCCTATTCTGAAACCGAGATCAGAAACTTGTGTTTCCAAATCTTTCAAGGTCTTGCGTACATGCATGGCACGGGTGGCTACTTTCATCGCGACCTTAAACCAGAAAACCTTCTTGTTTCCAAGGATGTAATCAAGATTGCGGATCTTGGTCAAGCTCGTGAGATCAATGGCGAACCTCCATACACCCATTATGTTTCAACACGCAGGTATCGTGCCCCTGAGGTTCTTCTCCATGCACTCGAACATGATTCTTCAGTTGATATGTGGGCAATGGGTGCAATCATGGTCGAATTATTTACCCTCCGACCACTATTTCAAGGTTCTTCTACAACAGACGTAATACACAAGATTTGCAGCGTGATCGGCAGCCCAACAGACACCACATGGAGTTTGTTCAATTATCGGTTTCCAGAGTTTCCTGGTGTGGATCTTTCTTCATTGTTACCATCTGCAAGCCCAGAAGCAATCAATCTGATTTCTACCCTCCTTTCATGGAGTCCATGCGCAAGGCCAACAGCCAAAGAGGCTCTTGAGCATCCATTCTTCTATGGGTGTTCCCATATTCCACACCCCCAATTCGAACGTGTTACTTTGTCTCCAATGATCAGAAACCGAGCGCTACCGGTTAGGGTTAGATCCAGGATTTAAAGTTAGGGATAGCACCGAGTATAAATAATTATAAACGTTGTTGGATTCCTAGAACAGATGAGAGATAAATACCTTTAACAAACAAAAAACCATTACAATTTTAACTTAAAAAATCGAATTCGGCTTAAAAATTGCATTGCTAATTGTAAGGCGTAGCCAATGCCCAACGCGGTTAATCATTTACAAGCTACAAGGAATTAAAAAAAATGTTTTGTAACATAAAGAAAGGGGAGATAGCATGTGAGAGTGACGAAAATTTCGTCACTGTTGCCATTGGTATTTAAAATGCTAATGCTACGGGCGATGTTGAAGCAGATCACTCGACGTTTGGAAAGTTGCTTAAGTGGGTTAAAAAGATCGGAGACTTGTTGTATAATCTCCCAGAAAATCCGTTATACTTTTGACAGTTAATTTGGTTTATGGTATTCGTTGGTAACGGTGTACATATAGCAATTGAAATGTGGTAAATATTTGTAGATTTGACTTGAATTTGCTTGAAAGCTTTAAGTTATCAAATTATTAGTTTTATTGCATTTAAGTTGTTATAATGTGTTATTGTTCAAATAGAATTTTATCAACACTTGTTTTCTTGATGCTATCTCATGATAAAACATACATGAAAGAAAAATTCATTAATGAATAGTTGAAGGAGAAAAGAAGGGTTTAGTGATGGTGACTGAAGAGTAGTTTTGTCAGTTCCATCTAAGACTAGATACAATAAACCCAATGTGTTGATAGTTTTTAGTGTACATTAAGGTTTTCATCCTTGTAGTTTGTTAAAAACTACGATTTTTCTTTCTATGGTTTAGAAATTACGGTGTTTACCTGTTTGAGATAAAATTACCGAACAAAAAACCACTCATGATAAAACATACAGTAATGAAAAATTCATTAACAAATTAAATATTTCAGAAAATTAGAAAGTGCATACAAAGAATCATACTCTAACTAATGTACCACATCGTTGTGTGTGATTATTCATTTTATAAGTTTTGATTAAATAAGTTCATAAGTACACTAAAAAGTTGTTAAGTTGTTAATTCATTAGCACAAACAAAAAACACCCAAACCTAAAAATCACAATACCCCATACATAATCCAACTAAAAGCACAAAATCGAAACGATAGAAATTACCTTCCTCTACGGCTAAAAAACCCAACAGAAGCCTTAAGGGCCATTTATCAAATGCTTACTCGGGTAAGTGAACACCAAGTCATTTTACCTTACCGGATAAAAATGGTAAGGATTAAGAATCTTACCCGGTAAGAGTGAGACAAGGACCAAGAGTCTTACCCGATAAGTGAAGGCGACGATTCTTACCACGGTAAGCACTTACCGGGTAAATTGTTGCATACGATACCGTTTTGGTGGACTAAAATCTTATCCGGTAAGTAAATAATAGTGTTAAATTTACCGTTAAGTGCTTATCAGGTAAGTGTTTGGTAAAAGGCCCTTTAGGGGCCATTTACCAAACGCTTACTCGGGTAAGCGCTTACCAAGTCATATTACCTCATGGGATGAATATGGTAAAGACCAAGAATCTTACCTGATAAGAGCAAGACAAGGACCAGAGTCTTACCCGCTAAGTGAGGGTGACAACTCTTACCATAGTAAGCACTTACCAGGTAAATTGTTGCATGCAATGTCGTTTTGGTGAACTAAAATCTTACCCGGTAAATATATAATAGTGTTAAATTTTATTGGTAAGCATTTAGCGGCTAAATATTTGGTAAACGGTCCCTAAATTTCAATTCTTTTCTTTCTTACCCAGTTACCCTGAACTTCAATTTATATGAAGATTTTGTTAAAAATCCCTTAAGATTTATGGGTCGTTTACCTAAATGCTTACTCGATAAGCTCTTACCATTACGAGTTAACATTGTAATTTATTTTACCGTGTAAGATTGTAGTACATCAAAATGATATCGTATGCAACAATTTATCCGGTAAGCGCTTACCCGAGTAAGAGTTGTCACATTCACTTACCGAGTAAGACTCTTCATCTTTATCATTACTCTTACCGGGTAAGATTTTTGACTCTTGTCATGTTCATCGGTAAAGAAAATTATCCGGTAAGCACTTACTGGATAAACGTTTAGTAAATGGCCCCTTATCTTTCTCTCTCGATATTGTTCATAGACCAAGAGCCGGGTATGCTATTTCGTCAATTCAGCTTAGCAACTAAAGGTGAATGCCCCTGAAATGGGAAGCCTCGACAAGCTAACCTATATCCATCTAGTCGGTGTCCCAAGCCAAACACACATCTTTCTTCCATGGATATGTCGATTTTCTTGGTGTGATGCAGATGGAGAATTGGTGATGTTAGGTTAATCGTATTGTTGTAGAGAGAGAAAAGAGAAAACGGGAAGGATACTGATAATTAATAAATTGAGAATTAAACGCCATTAGTGGTATAAATTAGGAAAATTAATTGACATTAATGTTATGAATTAAAAAAACGAAAAATCAGAAAAGTTGAGTGCTCAAAATTTGAGAATACTGCATTGTGCTTTTAGTTGGATTACGTACGGGGTATTGTGATTTTAGGTTTGGGTGTTTTCTGTTTGAGCCAATGAATTAACATGTTAACAATTTTCAAATAATGTCTTATAAAGTTGATAATGAGACACTTTATATTAAAAGTGTCCTAAATTACTTATTACGACGTCAAAAAACGTCATATAAACTTATTACAACACTTTTAGATAGGACACTTTATTTTTTTGGTCCTATAAACTAAGTCCTATAAAGAGGTCTATTAGGACACTTAGAATTTCAGAGTGTCCTATAAACCCGATTTTGTTGCAGTGTGTTAACGAATTTTTCGTTCCAGTATGTCTTATCATGAGTGATTTTTAGTTCGGTAATTTTACCTCATATGAATGAAAACCGTAATATCTAAACCATAGAAAGAAAAATCATAATTTCTAACAAACTACAAGGATGAAAACCTTAATTTACTCTAAACACTATCAATAATACATTGGGTTTATTGTATCTAGTCTTAGATGGAAATGACCAAACTACCCTTCATTCACCATCACTAAACCCTTCTTTTCTCCTTCAACTATTCATTAATGCATCCAACATTCATAACTTGCTTGACATTCTTGCTCGTTAAAGAAAACAAAAGATGTAAATCAAGCAGCAAGAAAACAAGAGTTGATAACATTCTATTTGAACAAATAACACATTATAACAACTTAAATGCAATAAAACTGATACTTTGATAACTTAAAGCTTTTAAGCAAATTCAAGTCAAACCCTGATATATTTACCATATTTCAATTGCTATATGTACACCGTTACCAACGGATACCATAAACCGAATTAACTGTCAAAAGTATAACGGATTTTCTCGAAGATTGTGCAGCAAGTCTTCAATCTTTTTAACCCACTTAAGAAACTTTCCAAACATCGAGTGATTTGCTTCAACGTCGCCAGTAGCATTAGCATTTTAAATACCAATGGCAACAGTGACGAAGTCACTCTCGCATGCTATCTCCCCTTTCTTTGTGTTACAAAACATTTTTTTTAATTCCTTGTAGCTTGTAAATGATTAACCGTATTGGGCATTGGCTACGCCTGACAATTAGCAATGCATTTTTTAAGCCGAATTCGATTTTTTAAGTTGAAAATTGTAATGGTTTTTAGTTTGTTAAAGGTATTTATCTCCCATTTATTCTAGGAATCCAACAACATTTACAATTATTTATACTCGATGCTACCCCTAACTTTAAATCCTGGATCTAACCCTAACCGGTAGCGCTCGGTTTCTGATCATTGGAGACAAAGTAACACGTTCGAATTGGGGGTGTGGAATATGGGAACACCCATAGAAGAATGGATGCTCAAGAGCCTCTTTGGCTGTTGGCCTTGCGCATGGACTCCATGAAAGGAGGGTAGAAATCAGATTGATTGCTTCTGGGCTTGCAGATGGTAACAATGAAGAAAGATCCACACCCGGAAACTCTGGAAACCGATAATTGAACAAACTCCATGTGGCGTCTGTTGGGCTGCCGATCACGCTGCAAATCTTGCGTATTACGTCTGTTGTAGAAGAACCTTGAAACAGTGGTCGGAGGGTAAATAACTCAACCATGATTGCACCCATTGCCCACATATCAACTGAAGAATCATGTTCCATTGCATGGAGAAGAACCTCAGGGGCACGATACCTGCGTGTTGAAACATAATGGGTGTATGGAGGTTCGCCATTGATCTCACGAGCTTGACCAAGATCCGCAATCTTGATTACATCCTTGGAAACAAGAAGGTTTTCTGGTTTAAGGTCGCGATGAAAGTAGCCACCCGTGCCATGCATGTACGCAAGACCTTGAAAGATTTGGAAACACAAGTTTCTGATCTCGGTTTCAGAATAGGGATTTGTTCTGTCTCTCATACGATCGAAGAGAGTGCATTCCATGTATTCAAACACCAAGAACAATATGTTCTTTTGTACGATAACTTCTTTGAGCTTGACAATGTTAGGATGATTCCTCATCTTGCATAGCGACTTGACTTCTCTCAGATTCATGCATTCTTTACTCGAATAATACTTTCTGCCGATCATCTTCTTGACTGCAACCAGTTCGCCATTCTCCGTATTCAATGCTTTATAGACAACCCCATATGATCCACGCCCAATTTCTTTGATTCTTTGATATTTCTCCATCGTTTATGGCCCTTTTTCTCGATAAACACACACAAACGTAGAAGAAGAAGAAACGTAGATTTTGTAGACAAATACAGAGATCACCTTAAACCCTAATGATGCTTCACAGATTTAGGCGAAGGGGATGAAGAACGGCCATAGAAATCGAAGAAAGTTGTGGTGACTGTTGTTTATATTCACTAGTTGAGAAGATTTTAGATATGGATTGTTATAGGTTTTAAGAAGTGTAGTTCCCTTAGGATTATATGTAGTTTCCTTTTATGAGGAGATTGATTTGTATCCAATGCTGTTGTTGTAGATATTTCATTAAACGGATCAAGATCACAAATTAATAAGGAAACAGAACTTTCCATAATTAAGGATAAGGATGATCCAAATGTGCAATCAATAAAATAACATTCATTAATCATGTGAAAAAATAAGTGTGAAAAACCTGAAATCGTAACCGTCGAGATCCACCCAATGATATATCCCTACTATATTATAAAGCATTTGACAAAACTCTCAAAAATCATTTTTTATACGTAAAGTATTGTTTATTAATGTATATTACTTAAAACTCAAGATTACGAATAAGTATAACTTATTAAAGCTTCATATATGAATTTGTGTAATTAACTACAGATAAATATAATCAAATACAAGATAAACATCTTATTTTAAATATAAAAAAATATAAAATATAATTAGGATAATTATTAAGTTCTAATAGAATATTTAATTATTATCTTTATAAAATGTTATATTTATTAAACTTAAATTAAATTATAATATAAATAAATTTAAAAAATTACATAAAAATGAGAACTTTTAAATAATTGATTTGATATTAACATTGATTGTTTTTTTTTTCAAATTTTTATAATATATTTATATTTTATTCAAAAATAAAATCGTTACTGCTTTCTTAAAAAACACATAAAATCGTATTATAACATCGACAGAGACAAATATTAAAATTGAACATTAAAATCGAGATGTATCTCACTATATTGGCGCGAGTACTCTTATAGTTTGTATTAAGGGGTGTTTGGATTGCTTATTTGAAACGATTTATGTTTTTCTACAAAAGCACTTGTCAACTTATTACAAGTTAGAAGAGTTTAACTTATTCAAAAACTTCTTATTACCGGTTTGGCACGTGTATAAGTTGTTTATTCAAATACTCAAAAATGCTTATTACCGGTGCCACATCGATATAAATCAATAAGTTGTTCTTATAAGCAATCTCAAACACCTCCTAAGAGTGATTACATAAATTGTCTTTGAAGTATACTGAAATGTTAGCAATTGTCATTACTGTTCATTAAAAAAAAGTTAATAATTATTTATTTTTCATATTCAAATTACAATCACAACATTACAACAAAAACTTGTGATTGTCATTTGAATCTAAAAAATAAATAATGGTTAACTAAAATGGTATTGCTTCTATTAGTTTGTTGTACTGTGCTACTGATTTGTTAATACACAGAAAAAGAATAGGTATATTTCTTTTGTTTCATGATTGTAAGTACTGTTTATTGATGCATATTACTTAAAGTTTAATATTACAAGTAAATTGTGCATAAGTACAACTTATTAAAGCTTCATATCTGAATTCGTGTAACTAACTGCAGATAAACATTATTAAATATATGATAAACATCTCATTTTAAATATAAAAAATCTAAATAGAAAATTATTGAATTCTAACAGAATACTTAATTATTATTTTTATGTTGTCCGGTTTAAGGTCGCGATGGAAGTAGCCGGCTTCGTTATGCATGTATGCAAGACCTTGAAAGATTTGGAAGCA